CCTTCCGGCGAAACGATATCCCCCCCGCACCTGGAAACGTTCATTCCGGCACCTGCGGCTAGGAGGAGGAGGAGGAAGCACATCGCCTGAAACATCCTCGCATTTCTTAATAGACTTGGCCAAAATCGCCTGCGACATCCCTCACATGTCTTAATAGACTTGGCCGAATCGCCTGAGACATCCTCATATTTCTTAGCAGAATTGGCCAAATCGCCTGAGACATCCTCACATTTCGTACGAGCATTGGCCAAATAGCTTGAGACATCCTCACATTTCTTACGAAAATTAGCCACATCGCTTGAGAAATCCTTGCACATCTTAAAACAAGTGCCCAAATCGCTTGAGACATCAACGCATTTCTTAATAGAATTTGCCAAATCGCTTGAGACGTCGTCGCATTTCCAAATAGAACTTGCCAAATTGCTGGGGACACCCCCACATTTCTTAATAGCACTGGCAAAATCGCTTGAGACGTCCTCACATGTTTTAATACAAGTTGCTAAATCGTTTCAGACATCCTGGCATTTCTTAATAGAATTTGCCAAATTGCTTGAGACATCCTCGTAGTTCTAAATAGAATTGGCCAAATCGCTTGAGGCATCCTCACATGTCTTATTCGAATTGGCCAAATCGCTTGAGACATCCTTACAGTTCTTAGTAGAATAAATTCAATCGCATGAAACATCATCACGTTGTTTGGCAGAATTTGCCACATCGCTTGAGACATCCTCACATTGCTTCATCCTTCTCCTCCTCCTTCCCCCTCTCCCTCCTTCCCCCCCAGCTCGCCTTTTTCACAGTCCTGGCAATATTAGGGCAACCTTTCAGTGTTCAGGAGAGTTCCTGCCTGTGCCTGCCGCCCTTTCAAAGCTCAAGCGTTCAGTTTTCAGATAGGATTGGCCAAATCGCTTGAGACGTCCTCACATTTCCAAACAGAACTTGCCACATTGCCTGGGACATCCTCGCAATTCTTATCAGCATTTGCCAAATCGCCTGAGACAGCCTCACATTTCTTAACAGACTTGGCCAAATCGCTTGAGACATCCTTACATTTCTTATTCGAATTGGCCATATCGCTTGAGACATCCTCGCAATTCTTATTAGCATTTGCAAAATCGTTTGGGACATCTTCATTTCTTCGCAGACTTGGCCAAACCGCCTGAGACATCCTTGCATGTCTTAATAAAATTTGCAAAATTACATCCGACATTCTCATATTTCTTAATAGAATTTGCCAAATCGCCTGAGACATCCCCACATGTCTCAGCCGAATTAGCCAAATGGCATGAGACATCCTCACGTGTCTAAATAGAATTTGCCAACTCGCCTGAGCCATCCTCAGATTTCTTTGTAGAATTGGCCAAATCGCCTGAGACATCCTTGCATTTCTTAGTTGAATTAACTCGCCAAATCGCTTGAGACATCGTCACATTTCTTAATAGAATTGGCCGAATCGCTTCCGACATCCTCACATTTCTTAATAGAATTGGCCACATCGCCTGAGACACCCTCGCAGTTTTATAAGCATTTGCCAAATCGCCGGAGACACCCTCGCAATTCTTACGAAAATTGGCGTACTCGTCTACTCGTACTCGTACTCCTATTCGTATTCCTACTCCTACTCCTAGTCCTACTCCTATACTCCTACTCCTACTCCAACTCCTCCTCCCTCTCCTCCTACTCCTACTCCAACTCTTATTTCTACTAAGGGAGCCTCACGACTCCTGCGCGGCCCAGGGAGCCTCATAATAATCCAAGATGGCCGAGAGGTTCCAGACGAATCCAAGACGGTCCAAGACGTATCGCAAGGGGTTCTCATAGCAGGGCCCTGGAGATGCCTTCGGCCAATGGCCACTCGCCTTCCCTCAGTGGCCACGGCCTCTCAGGGCCCAGGGAGCTCTTATTCTCAAAGGCCTTCGGCCGATCCGCCTGACCTCCTCCCCCATCGGGGTCCAGGGCCTCTCAGGGCCCAGGGAGTTCTTATTCTCAGAGGCCTTCGGAGGCAGCAGTCCAGGTATATTGGCAGGAGTCCAGGTACTCAGAAAGAAGCAGTGGCGCCTTATATTTTTGTTGTAGAATTGGCCACGTCGCTTAAGACATCCTCGCACTTTTTAGTAGAATTGGCAAATTCGCCTGAGACATCCTCGCATTTCTTAGTAAACTTTGCCAAATCGCCTGAAACATCAGTTGTCCCTTGGGCCTTTCAGCCATGTCATGGTTGTCATGAGTAACTATCTACCATTGGTGTCTTCCGACGATTACGGCGACGACGAGCACGACCTGGCTGTCGCGCGGATATGTTTTTGGCCGGGTGCTAAGATAACACCACGGTGCGGGGTGGGGGCGATACCCTCGGGTGCACCACCCCCTACGACGGCCGAAAAAAACGCATTTCTCTAAAAGATTTTCAATCGACACCTCATCGGAACAAAACAAGCGGATCAGAACAAAGAGTAGAGAAGGAAGAGGGGGAAATCGCTTGAAACATCCTCACACATCTTAGTAAACTTGCACAAATCGCCTGAGACATCCTCGCATTCCTTCTTGGAATTCGCCAAATCGCTTGAGACATCTTCACACTGCTTAACAGAATTGTCCAAATCGCCTGAACACCCTTACATTTCTTATTAGAATTGGCCAAATCGCTGGAGACATCCTCACATGTCTGACTAGAATTGGCCAAATCCTTTGAGACATCCTCACATTTCTTTTTAGTTTTCGTTCGTATCTCCGTTCGTTTGAGTCGTATCCTCATTCGTAGTCTGCGAGGGTCGTTGCTTTGTTCGGAGTACCTCGATTCCATGAGGATCATGAGGAAAACAATGCTTATTACCCGTATTCTTACTATCAGTCGCATTCTGCTTCTCATTAGTCGTATTATTCGTTCTTTTCTGATTGTTATTCTTCTTATCTTCGTCCGTATCTTCGTATCTTCGGCGACGACGAGCACGATCTGGCTGTCACACGGATATTTTTGTTGGTCGGGTGCTAAGATAACGCCACGGTGCGGGGTGGGGGCGATACCCTCGGGCGGACCACCCCCTACGACGGCCGAAAAAAACGCATTTCTCTAAAAGATGTTCAATCGAAACCTCATCGGGGGAAACAAAAAAACAAGCGGATCAGAACAAAAAGTAGAGAAGGAAGAGGGGGAAATCGCTTGAAACATCCTCACACATCTTAGTAAAATGGCACAAATCGCCTGATACATCCTCACCTTCCTTCTTAGAATTAGCCAAATCGCTCGAGACATCCTCACATTGCTTAACAGAATTGTCCAAATCGCCTGAGCACCCTCACAAACCGCCTAGCATCACGGTAACAGTAGCATCACGGTAGCAGTAACAGTAGCATCACGCCATCCGGTTTCATTGTCATCACGGTAGCAGTAACAGTTACGGTGTCAGCAGTACTTGTGTCACTCGCCTTATTATTATTATTGTTTTTATTTTTATTATTGTTATCATTATTATTATTGTTCTTATTCGCATTTTCATTCGTATTCGTGTTTCTGATTACAATTCCACTTGGGATGCCATCCGAGGCGGGACGCAGGAATTAATTATGTTCCTTTCAAGTGCGCGGTGCTAATTATATCGCTCGGCGAAAACCCCCCAGAATAATTATTTAATTACGGGGCGGTGCTAATGATAACCCCGGGGGGGGTCCTTAATCGTTTCATGAGGTTATTCAGGGAAGGTTGTTTTCAATATGTGGTTCCTGCCTTAGCGCCGCGCGCTTTCGTTCAAACAAATCGCAAGAGCTTCACGGATTGAGGGCGGTTCCATTTCAACATGTGGTTCTCGAATTAGCGCCGCGCACACTCTTTTAACACATCTCCAAGTGCCTCACGGATTGAAGGCGCTTCTTTTCAAAATGTGATTCTCCATTTAGTTCCGCTAACATTCGTTTTCAACATTTGCAAGAGTTTCGCTGGTTCCCATGGTTAACGCACCAGAAATGGTGTTTTGGAACGGTTCGGGACTGTCAGGGCGCAACATTAGATAATTCGCAGTATTGACGTCCCATGATTCGTTTTTCCTGGCACGATCCAGGATCACCAAGACGTAACGGTCAGGCTAACTCGCGGCGCTGAAGTCCTGAGAATGTGCTTTGGCACGCGTCAAAATGTTCACACGGCCGTCCCCCAACAAAGCATTTCTTTCAGTGGAAATGATTTCTGTAACGGCCTATGAACAGGAGTCTTGGAGGGAGTGTGTATTCCAACATCGTTGATGAGTCTACGGGTTACGCTGGTCCCCCTCCTCCTCCTCCTCCTCCTCCTCCTCCTCGTCCTCCTCCTCCTCATCATCCTCCTCTTTCTCCTCCTACCCACTCCCTCCTCCCCATTCCCCTTCCTCCATACTCCCTCCTCCCGCTTCGGCCTCCTCCTGCCTCCTCCTATCTCGTCCCACTCCTTCCTCCTCCCGCTCTTTCCTCCCCACTCCCTGATCCGCCTCTCGCTCCCTCCTCCTCCTCCTCCTCCTCCTCCTCCTCCCCCTCCTCCTCATCTCCTCCTCCTCCTCCTCTTCCCTCCTCCTCCCTCCTCCTCTTCCTCCGCCCCCCCCCCGCACAACCTCCTCCTCCTCCTTAACCTCCGCCCCCCGTCCGACAGACAGACATCTCGCCCTCCCCTCCCCAACAGACCGCCGTCCGCAGCGCGCGCGCCGAGGCTCGCGCGCGAGCGGCCCTGGGCGCCGCCGGCGCGCTGGCGCCGTGCCAGGGCCCCGAGCAGCCGGAGGGGCAGCTCGTGCAGGCGGGTGCCCTCGGGCCGCCCGGGGGGGGGCGCCGCCGCCGATCGGTGGGCCATCCTCCTCTCGCCTCGCTCCTCTCTCTCTCCTGCCTCTCGCCTCCCTCCTCCCTCCTCCTCTCCTCCTCCTCCTCCCCTCCTCCTCCTCCTCTCCTCCTCCTCCTCTCCTCCTCCTCCTCCACCTCCTCCTCCTCCCCTCCTCCTCCTCCTCCTCCTCCTCCTCCTCCGCCTCCTCCTCCTCCTCCTCCTCCTCCTCCTCCTCCTCCTCCTCCTCCTCCTCCTCCTCCCTCTCCTCCTCCTCCTCCTCCCCTCCCTCCTCCTCCTCCTCCTCCTCCTCCTCCTCCTCCCCTCCTCCTCCTCCTCCTCTCTCCTCCTCCTCCTCCTCCCTCCTCCCTCTCTCCCCGCTCTCTCCCTCCCTCCTCTTCCTCCCTCCGCCTCTTCCTCCTCTCGCCTCCTCCTCCTCTCGCCTCTCTCCTCTCTCCTCCTCCTCCTCCTCCTCCTCTCGCCTGCCTCCTGCCTTCTCCCTCTCTTCCCACTTCCTCCTCCTCCCTTCTCTCCAACGGGTCGACAGCTTCCGAAATAGACTCCTGAATCTCCCGCTGGATGGTACGGTATAGCTCGTCGGCGGTTTACCGCCGGCGCCCTAATCCTACCTCGTGGAGTTCCTGCAGGAACCCGAACTAGAGGAATTCCGATGCGGAGTGGAGCTAGTTGGCCAATTCCTCCTCTCTCCTCCTCCCTCTCCTCTTCCCTCCCTCCTCTCTCAAGCCCAGAAGTGTTCGCGTCGTGTACGATGATCACGGCGAGGGTCTTTTGCTGCTTTCTCCTTCCAGAGGCCCCCGCCTGGCCTCGGGACCGTCAAGCGCTTGTTCAGGGGTCCAGACGTTCTCGGCTGTTGTTTTCCGGCCTTTTTCCAAGCATTGAAGTAACGTCCATCCACGCAAGTCGTTTAAAAGATTTCTGCGCCTTTCACTCGACATCTTTCTTCGAGCGTGCCTGGATCCAGGCGCCGTTCGGCCGATTTCGAGGCACGTCGCACGATCCCCCCCTTGTTGTTTCCCACGGCTCTGTGCTGTTTCCCCCCTGCCGGTTCCTCTCGTTCTCCCCCTTCCTCCCCGTCCTTCGTCCTCCTCTGCCCCTCATCCTGATTAGTCTAGCCGCCGAACAATTTGTTGAAGGTGCCCTGGCCAAAGTGCCATAAATGGCCAACACAAGCGCAATGAAAATGCGCCGGACCCCTCCAAGAGTGGCCCAGTGGCTTCCATTGCGCTTGAAGGAAAAGGGAGGGCTTGAGGTGGGTGGGAGGAGTCCGAATCCCCCCATGCTCCTCCTTTCAGGGGGGGGCAGAAGAGAACACGTGAAAGGAGAGGGAGGGAGAGGGAGAGAGGGGGGGAAGAGAGATAGAAAGGGAGGGAGGGAGGAAGGGCAGGGGAAGGGAAGGTGGGGGTGAATGGGACAGGCATCCCAGAACTCTCCAGAGCCTTTTTCTATCGGAACGCCTAGGGATTCATGCAACGCCGTAAGTCACAACGTGCAGCCCCGTGCGACGCGTAAGCCATAGAGTTGCGTGGGATCCCCCCCAAACTATCATCCTCTGGTTTCTACGTGTCGCTCCTCCTCCCGCGCATGCTCATCCTCGCCTTCCTCTTCCTCCCTCTGCCGCTTTGCTCTCTCCCCCCTTCTCGTCCCTCCTTCCCCGTCCCATTCCTCCCCCTCCGACTGCTCCCCCTCCCCTTCCCTTCTCGGCCCTCCTTCCCCGTCCCATTCCTCCCCCTCTGACTGCTCCCCCTCCCCTTCCCTGCTCTGCTCCAGCGACGAAGAGAGAGGGCACGAGCAACCGAGGAGGCCATCCTCGCCCCTGCGGCGCTGCCGGCGCGCATTCCGCCCACGTGGTCGTTGTTGTCGTCGTCCTCCTCCTCGTCCTCCTCCTCCTCGTCCTCCTCCTCCTCCTCCACCTCCTCCTCCCTCGGGCCTCCTCCTTCCTCCTGACTCCTCCTCCGCCTCCTCCCTCCTGCCTCCTCCTCATCTGTTCCCCACGAAGACGACGGTCACTTCATCATCCTCCTTCATCCGACACGTCGACGACGACCGCGGCGGCGGTGGCGGTGACGACGCCGACGACGACTGCGCCAACGACGACACCATCAAGTTTCCCCCTCCGAGGGCGAGGGCGGTTCCGACGACGCCGACGGCGCCGCCGACGGCGACGACGGCGACGACCCCGACGGCGGCCACGACGACGAGGGCGGCCGCGCAGCTCCTCCGCCCCCACCACCACGAGGAGGACGACGAGGACGACGGCGCCCATGACCGTCGGCGACGGCGACGAGCGGCGACGCCGACTCCGACGGACGACGATCGACGTCGACGTCCGACGACCGACGAGCGGCGAGCGTTGAGCGACGACGACGACGCCGACGACGCCGACGACGACGACGACGACGACGACGCCGACGACGCCGACAACGACGACGACGACGACGACGACGACGACGACGACGACGACGACGACGACGACGGGGCGATGGCGACGACGACGACGACGACGACGACGACGACGACGACGACGACGAGCGGCGGCGGCGGCGGCCGCGGTGGCGGCGGCGGCGGCGGCAGCTGGCGGCGACGACGACGACGATGGCGCGACGGCGACGACGACGACGACGACGACGACGACGACGAGCGGCCGCGGCAACAGCGGCGGTGGCGGCGGCGGCGGCGGCCGGCGGCGCGCTAGCCGACCGGTGGCGATCGACGGGCCAGCCGCGGGCAGGAGGCCCTCGGGCGCCTCTACGCGCAGCTCCTCGAGGCCGCGGCGCTGCCCGCCGCCGCTCGCCGTCTGCTCGTCGCCGTCGCTCGCCGCCGCTGCCCATCCACCGCTCGTCCGTCCATCGTCGCCGCTCGCCGGCCGCCGCCGCTCGCCGTCTGCTCGCCGTCGTTCGTCGCCGCCCGGCGGCAGTCGTCGCCGCCCGCCGACCCTTCGCCTCGCTCGGCGGCCGCCGCCGCTCGCCGCCGCCCGTCGCTCGTGGGCGACGCCGAGGGGCGCCGCCGCCCCCCAGCGTCGCCGGCGCCGCACCCTCTGCGGCAGGGCGCCCCCCTGGCGGAGGACGACGACGACGACGACGACGACGACGACGACGACGACGACGACGACGACGACGGCGGCAACGACGACGACGACCAGGACGTCGACGACGACGAGGTCGACGACAAGGACGGCGACGGCGACGACGACGACGACGGCGACGACCCGCCCCCCCCGGCAGGCGGCCTCCGGCGCCGCGGTGCAGAGCCTGCTGGGCGCGCTGTCGGCGCTGCTGCCCCAGCTCGGGGGCGGCTGCGGCGACGGCGCGGCCCGGCTCGCCGCGGCCGCCGAGGCGCCGCCGTCGCCGCCGTCGGCGTCGCTCGCCGTGCAGCGGCGTCGCTCGTCGTGCGTCGCTCGACGACGACGACGACGAAGACGAGGGTCACGACGACGCCGCCGCCGACGACGATCACAAGCAATAACGACGACGACGAGCGATAGCCACAAGGACGACGACGACGACGACGACGACGATGACGACGACGACGACGACGACAGTGAGCGCGTCCGCCGTCGCCCACTTCTTCGCCGCCGGCCGCCGTTCGCGTCGGCGTCGCCTTGTCGGCGTCGTCGTCGTCGTCGTCGTCGTCGTCGTGGTCGCCGTCGTCGTCGTCGTCGTCGTCGTCGGCGTCGTCGTCGTCGTCGCCGTCGGCGTCGCGGTGTGCGTGTGTCGCCGTCGTTGTAGTCGTCAGGGAGAATGGGCACGGGATGTCTTGTGCACTTCGGGGGCCCCTTTTTTCCTGGGTGCCTTTCGAAATTTGGTCAGAGCGCGCTCTTGGAGCACGTCCTGAAGTCGAGGTCCCAAGCGTGGTCGTGGCCGTCTTGTTCGTCGCGTTCGTTGTCGTCGTCCTTCTCCTCCTCCCCCTTCCTACTCCTGCTCGAGGACGAGGAGAAGGGGGAAAGGTTTTGGGAGGAGTTTGAGGCGAATAGAGGAGGGAGAAGGGGGATGAGGAAGTAGAGGAGACGGGAGAAAAGGGAGGGGGGCAGGAGTGAGGAGGGTGGAGGAGGAGCGGTGGAGCGAGTAGGTCGAACAATGATGACTAGTAGGGATGAGGGATGAGGGGGAGCAGCGAGGGAGGAGGAGGAGGAGGAACAGGTGGAGCAGGAGGATGAAGGGGGGAAAGAGGAGGAGGATAAAAGGGGGAAAGAGGAGGAGGAGGAGGAGAGGAGGAGGTAGGTAGGAGGAGGAAAAGGAGGGAGAGGAGGAGGAGGAGAGGAGGAGGAGGAGGCAGAGGAGCGTCGAGGCTCCAGGGAGGATGGGGGAGGGGAGGTGGTCGGAAGAGTTGGCGCTCGCACCAGCGGCCGTGACCCGGACTCTCCCCCCCCCCTGGCCGGCCCGAGCGCGGCCGCGGCTCGGCGAGGGCGCCGAGGGGGATCCCCCGAGGCGCCCTGCCTCCCCGGGGCCAGGCGCGGAGCCCAGCGCGGGGGGGGCGGGGGGGAGGCAAGCGAGGCGGGGAGGGCGGCCGCAGGGCCGAGGTCAGGAGCGCGGCCGCCGGAGGGGGGGGCGGGGCGCGCGGCCCCGCGCGCGGTGCCAGCAGCCTCTCCCCCGGGCGGCCGCGGAGCTGGGCGAGGGGGGGGGGGTGGAAGGGGGGGGGGCGGGCAGGGTGGAGGAGGGGGGGAGGGGGAGGAGGGGGGAGGAGGGGAGGATGGGGGGAGGAGGGGGGAGAGGGGGGGGAGGGGGGGGGGGGCGGGTGGGATGGGGGGGGCGGCGGCGAGCGCGGTCAGGCGAGGAGGGCGAGGAGCGGGGGGGCGCTGGGAGGCAGCAGGGGGAGGCGCGGTCAGGACAAGGGTGTGGACGATGGTGACGATGACGATGACGATGGTTATGGTGATGTTGTTGTTGATGCTGTTGATGGTGATGGTGATGATGCCGATGACGACGACGACGACGACGATGATGATGCTGATGTTGCTGCTGCTGATGACGATGATGATGATGATGATGATGATGATGATGATGATGATGATGATGATGGTGGTGGTGATGATGATGATGATGATGATTCTGATGATACTGATGCTACTGATGATGGTGTTGGTGATGCAGATCACTATGATGCTGATGATGCTGATGATGACGATGCTGATATTGATGGTGATGATGATGACGATGGTGGTGGTTATGATGTTAATGATGATGATGATGCTGATGATGATGATGATGATGATGATGATGATGATGATGATGATGATGATGATGCTAATGATGATGATGTTGATGATGATGATGAAAGTATTGGTCACGCTGCTGATGATGATGGCGATGGTCATCATGATGATGTTACTGATGATGTTGATGCTGCTGCTGATGCTGCTGCTGATGCTGATGATACTGATGGTGATGATGCTGATGCTGATGCTAATGATGATGCTGATGCTGATGCTGAGGATGATGATGATGATGATGATGATGATGGTGGTGGTGGTGGTGGTGATGATGATGAGGATGGTGTCGTTGCTGCTGATGCTGATTATGATTATGATGAAGGTGCTGGTGATGTTGATGATGGCGATGACGATGCTGATGCTGGTGTTGATGATAATGCGAATGTTGATGATGTTGTTGATGATGATGTTAATGATGATGGTGCTGTTGATGGTACTGCTGCTGATGATGATGATGCTGATGATGATGGTGAGCGATGGTGATGATGATGATGATGATGATGATGATGATGACGACGGTGACGCTGACGCTGATTATGATTATGAGTATGATCATGATGATGCTGCTGCTGATGATGAGGATGAGGATGAGGATGAGGATGAGGATGATGATGACGACGACGGCGTGCGCTACTAGTTCTGCGATGAGCGTGCTGCCATGCGCGAACGCGCGCGCAGCTCAACACAGAACGCACACTGCTGCTGGCGAGCAGGGGGCAGGCGGCCACAGGAGGAGGAGGAGGAGGAGGAGGACGGGGGAGGAGGATGAGGAGGAGGAGGACGACGACGACGACTTTCGACGACGACGACGACGACGACGACGACGAGCGACGAGCGACGAGCGGAGGAAGAGAAGGAGGATGAGGAAACGACGGCGACCGACGAGCGACGACACGAGCGACGCGCGACGAGCGACGCGCGACGACAACGAGCGACGATCGACGACGAGAAGCGACGACGACGAGCGACGACGAGCGACGAAGACGACAACGAGGGCGACGACGAGGGCGGGGACGAGCGGGAACAGGGGGAAGCAGGGCGGCGTGCAGGAGCGAGGCCGACGAGGAGTTGGAGAAGGAGGAGGAGGAGGAGGAGGAGGAGGAGGAGGGGGAGGAGGAGGAGGAGGAGGAGGACGGCGAGAACGAGCAGGAGCATTCGCGCGCGGGTGCAGGCCGAGGGTTCCGCCGCCAGGTGGAGATGGAGCTCGACGTCTCCCGCGACGCCTCCCCGACGCCCCCGCCGTCGCGGCGGCACGGGCTGGCGCAGCCCGTGGCCGTGATGTGAGGGCTTGTGTTTCCGCCTCTTCCTCAGCAGCCCCGACCTCCGCCTCGTTCTCGACCTCCGCCTCCTCCTCAACCTCCGCCTCCTCGAACTCCTCGACCTCCTCCTCCTCCTCCTCGGACTCCTCGACCTCCGCCTTCTCCTCGACCTCCGCCTCCTCCTCCTCCTCCTCCTCCTCATCCTCCTCCTCCTCGTCCTCCTCCTCCTCTTCCTCGTCGTCGAACTCTTCGACCTCCGCCTCCTCCTCCTCCTCCTGCTCATCCTCCTCATCCTCGAACTCCTCGGCCTCCGCCTCCGCCTCCTCTTCCTTGACCTCTGCCTTCTCGTCCTCCGCATGTTCCTCCGCCTTCTCCTCCTCTTCTTCCTCCTCATCAATCTCCGCCACCTGCTCCTGGCCTCGATATCTTTCGTTCCCCTCCTCCCCGCCCCCCTCCTCATGTTCCACTCCTCCCGCTCCCTCTAGCCAGACCAACACCAAACTCACCGCATTTCAGATCATGCCCTCCCCCCTCCCCCCCATTATCCCTCATCGCACATTCCCTTCTCCTCTACACCTTCCTCTCCTCTTCTACCCCTTCACGCTTCCACAGTATGCCTTCTGCCCTCCTCTCTCCGATGACCCTGTCCGCAAGTTGTCCAGCCCTCTCCGCGTGCGGTCGCGTTACACACAGGATCTGAAAACTTGCCTTCTCATTTACGGTGCAATTCGTGTCGGTGTTTCAGAGTGGTGTTTCCGCTGCAGCGTGGGCCTCATGTTCGGATCGGCGCTTTGCTCTCGCCACTCAGAGTGGCGTTCTGGCCCTTCGCGGGGCACCTGTCCAGATCGGGGTCCTTTTTCATCTTCACTGTGGCCCCCTTCCTTTCCCCTCTGCCGTCCCCTGGTCCGCCCATTCCTCCTGGTCCTTCCACTTCAGTTCCTGCTGCTGCCGCCGTCCGTCCTCGTCCTCCTTCGTCATCCTCCTGCTTGTCCTCCTGCTCATCCTCCTGCCCACCCGCCACCTCCTCTCCTGCTGCTCTTCCTCCTCCGCCTCCTCCTCCTCCTCCTCCTCCTGTTCCTCCTCCTGCTTTACCTCCCCGTCCTCCTCCTCCTCCTCCTTCCTCCTCCTCCTCCTCCTCCTCCTCCTCCTCCTCCTCCTCCTATGGACCCAGTTCCCCCTTTTTTTTCCGATTGCGCACAACGGTGGAGTCTTCTTGTTGGAGTTCCAGGTCGGCTACGATGAGCGCCCGCGGATGGAGGAACATCTGCGCGCTGGGAAGGATTGGGAGGGAGGGATACGATGTCCGATCTGGCGCGAACGCACCTAGCTTGTCCCTACCCCTCTCTCTCCCCCCCCCCCCGGAAGGCGGGGGGCGCGCAGTGGTGGCGCGCAGCGGGCAGGGGGCCCAGAGGCATCCGACGACGTGATCTCTCAGGTCGCTTGCGGCCCCAGAGGTTCCGACTGCTTCCCCAGGGGCCTTACCATCGGGGGTGGACAGAGCCCCCCACCCTGACACGTCGATTCGTGAATTGTCCGTTTCCGGTTCTCGAGAGGGCGCCGCGGCCGTCATTTTCCAGGCTTGCCCGCCAGGTTTGGGCCCGAGGTCGTGTGCCCTAAGCCACGTTTTACTAAAGGGGGTTCTGTCCACCCCCGATTACTAGGCCGTGGAAGCGGCCGGGGGCGGCCAAGAGGGGTGCGATGACCAGGGGTGCGTCTGTGGAACTCATGGCCGGGGCCATGATATCACCCCGGATGTCAGGACCCCCTCTCTCACATCTTCGTGCGCCTGTTGGCCGCCCCTGGGCCGCGCACGTGCCTCGGACAATGTTCTGCGGCCCCCCCGTCTTGGACGCCCCCCACTCGTGGACGCCCCCAGAACGAGCGGGGCAGTTCCCGCCCGCACGGAGCAGTTTTTTCTCGTGTTCTTGCCTGCGCGTGCCTTCACTTGCTGGCTCCGTCACCGGTTCTGTCGGTCGGTTCCGGCTCCGGTTCCGATTCGGGCGCAGTTGGGTTTCTGCTGTTCCGTGTCGGCGCGCCGCTTTCATTCGGGAAATGTCCCGCGGGTCGGGACTATAGCAGCTACAGCCGAGTTTGAGCAGTAGGTCGACCCTGCCGAATCATGGGTGCTCTTGTTTCCTGTGTTTAGCGGCCCGTGCCTTCTGCATTGCAATGGCAATGCGGCCCTCGGAAGGCTCTTGTGTCCTCTCGCGTGTTCTCTCCAATCAAACTCGGACGGGGCTTGGACGAGGATGAATCCGTTCCAGAGCGTTCCAGAACGCTCTCAGAGCGTTCAGAGCGTTCGGGAACGCTCTGAGAAGGCCGCGGCGCCCGATACATCCTCGAGAGCCGCCGGATCTCAGAGATTCTCGATTTATCTTCACCAGGTCTTATCCTCGTCCTGGCTTCTGGTCGGTCATCGTGCAATCGTCGGCGGCGAGAGGCGGCCAGGCTTCATCGAAGTTGGTCCTCGTCATGGCTTCGTCTTACAAGCTCGACCGTACCCCTGGGCCCAGGGGGGTTGTGTCCACCCATTGCCCACGCCTGATGGCTGCGTAGCCTCGGAAGGGTCTTGTGTCCTCTCGCGTGTGCTCGGAAGGTTCTTACGTCGGCGGCAAGCCCGGGGGGGGTCGTGAGAAGGAGCGGGCCTTCTCAGAAGGCTCGGAAGTCCCTGGGCTTTCTGAGACGTTTTCCAAGCCCTCCCCGAAGACACAGAAAACCTCAGAAGGCCAGAGGCCTCCTGAGAAGCCCCGTCGCCTTCTGAGAAGGCCTTCTCCTTCTCACTTCCCCCCCTCGCTCGCTGCCGGTTGTGTCCTCTCGCGTGTCCTCTCCATTCAGACGACGACGACGACGACGACGACGACGACGACGACGACGACGACGACGACGACGACGACGACGACGACGACCGCGCTCGCGCGCAGGACGGGCACCAAGCTTGTCCTCTCGCGTGTCCTCTCCAATCAGACCGTACCGCTGGGAGGGGGGGGAGGGGGAGGAGGAGGAGGAGGAGAAGGAGGAGGAGGAGGAGGAGGAGGAGGAGGAGGAGGAGGAGTGTGTGAGAGGTGCGCCGAACCCCGACCTCTGCTTTGACATGCGGCGAACATACGTATTCGGGCAACGACATCTATGCATATCCACTGCCCCCTGGCCCCAGGAGCTGTGTATGCGCCCTCCTGACCAAGCCAGACGGGCCTGGCGCATACACCGTTGCTGGGCTCAGGGTACGTAGGCCTGGCCAGGGAACAGTGGATGTGTAGAGAGGTCGTCGCCCTGCTGGCATCGACGCCCATGGGGAGCCTTCGAGTGCCCCGGAAGTCTTCGGACGTTTTCGGGTCGGGAGCCTGGAGACGCAGGTCAATGCAACGGGAGGTCAGCCAGAGCGCCGGCTCTCGCAGGCTTTTGCAGGACCCTGCACAGCCCGGCTGACCCGGGCGTGCATTGACCCATGCCACTACCATCCCCGATGAGCGACAAACGGGGTCGACTGCGCGGACATTCGCGCGTCAGCTGCCCGCGTAAGGTCGGGCTGCAGGTAGCGTTTTCCAGACTATCGGCAGTTGTTGCCAGTTCTTGGCGGTCTTCCAGCCGCGGGATGCGTTCGCCGAGAGTGTTCTCGGGGGGGCTCAGATCGTCCCCAACGGCCGCTGGAGAGCCGAGATATGCCCCGGTGAGCGACGCGAATACAGGGGGTCGACTGCGTGGGCGTTCGCGCGGAAGCTTCCCGAGCAACGTCGCGCGTGAGCGCTCTCGTCTCCAAAGCAGCGTTCCGCGCTGGCGGCCTGCGCACGCCACCGCGTGAGGTCGCTGCGCCATCTCGCGGAAGACCCGTTGCTTCTCGTCGCTCATCGCCGGAGATCTGGGTCGACGACGATGACGATGAAAATGATGATGATGATGATGATGATGATGATGAGGAGGAGGAGGAGGAGGAGGATCATGATGCGGCTGGGTGATGATGATGATGATGATGATGATGATGATGATGATGATGATGATGATGATGATGATGATGATGATGATGCTGATGCTGATGCTGATGCTGATGCTGATGATGATGCTGATGATGATGATGATGATGATGATGATGATGATGATGATGATGATGATGATGATGGTGGTGGTGGTGGTGGTGGTGGTGGTGGTGGTGGTGGTGATGATGGTGGTGGTGGTGGTGGTGGTGGTGGTGATGATGATGATGATGATGATGGTGGTGGTGGTGGTGGTGGTAAAGAAGAAAAATAAGAATAATATTAATGCTAATAATAATCATAATAATAATGATCATAATGATAATAATGATAATAGTTCGAAGAAGAAGAAGAAGATGACGAGGATGATGATGATGACGACGATCGCCAGAGATCTGGGGCCACAGGCTCTGCGAAACCGCCCTCTGCACCAGCCCCCCGCCCGCGCCTCGACGCGGGTGGGAAGCCAGGGAGCAGAAGCGCACGCCAGGCCCGAGCAGAACGCCAACCTGAGATCCGACGCTGCGAACAAGTCGGGCCCGTCCCTCTACAGGAGGAATATTCAAAAATAGTCCAGAAATACTCTGGGCATTTTTTTGATTTTTGACCATTTTGGAGTACTTTTTGAGTTTTCTTATTCTTCGTTGAAAATCCCCCTGTAGGGGGACACGCCCGACTTAACGCTGCGAGCAAAAGTGCAACACTGCAAAACAAGTCGAGACCGGAGCCCTCGATCGGCGGCTAGCGAGGGGGGGAAATGAGAGGGAGGAGTCCTCCTCAGCAGGCGGCGGGACTTCTCAGAAGCCCACCGGGCGCCTTCTCAGAAGCTGCCTGCGCCTTCGGGGAAGGCTCGGACAACTTCTCAGAAGGCCGGGGGACTTCCAAGCCTTCTGAGAAAGAAGGCCTTCTCCCTCTCGCTTCCCCCCCTCGCTCGCCGCCAACTCGGCTCCAACTCTCTGCAGCGCTTGCTTCGAGCCGGACCGATCCGTGATGGCCCTGGGGCCCGAAGTTGGGCGTCGACGACCCGCGTGGCTCGGGCCGGACGAAAGGGGGGGATAGGGAAAGGGGGCGGTCACGAAATCTGCTGCTTGCAGCTGGTTTCGGCCCCACCGAGGGGCCCATTCCTCCATACATGGCCGCCTCCAGCGCCGGGAGGCGCCGGGAACATCAGCTGCGTGAGCTGATTCTCAATCCCCCCTTTGCTGTCCCCCACTTTCGCCCGACCCGCAAGTCATGCCGGCGGAGGTCGGGGGCCTCGCGCGCGCGCGAGGCGACGCGGCCCCCGAGCGAGCGCTGTGCTTGAGCAAATCGTGAGGAAGTCTCGAGCGAGAGCCGCGAGAGCCCCAGAGCCGAGAAGATCAGCTACGTGAGCTGATTCTCAAACTTCCCCTTTGCTATCCCCCCCTTCCGCCCAGCCCCCGAGTGGCAGACTGGCAGCGGGGCCTCGGGGCCGAGGCCGCGAAGCGGCCGAGGCAGGCGAGGTACAAAACGGAGCGGCTCCTTTGGAGAGCAAAGGGTGGATGGGAAGTGCCGTTTCGAGGGGCCTCCGAGGCTTGAAGCTGCAAGGGGCGAGCAGCAGAACGGGTTGATCTTCGAGGTGCAAGAGCCCATGTGTCACCACCCACCAAACCACCCCAACCCAACCCGGAGGCCTGAATTTGCCCTCCACTTCCAGTTGGGGGGGGGGGTCGGGGAACACCGAAAAAACACACATGGAGCCCTTCCCCCCCCCCCAACCCGAAATTGGGGTCTTCGGGTTGGGTTGGGGCGGTCTGGTAGGTAATCACATGTGGAGTTCGCCCTGAGCCCTCCAGCCTGAGGAGATGCTCAGCAGAAGGAGGCGCGCTGGGGTCGGGCAGAGAGCGCCGCGCCGTCGGATGCCAGGCGGGGCGGGGGCTGCTGCCGGAGGTGCCCCTGGGCCCGGTGCCCCCAGGGACGAGTCGGGCCCTGTCCCTCCTGAGGTCAAGGTTTGAGTCGGGCGTGTCCCCCTACAGGGGGATTTTCGACGAAACATACAGAATACCCCAAACATAGTCCAACAGCAGTCCAAAGATAGTCTGGGGACTATTTTTGAGTATTGTTTGACCTTCTTGGGGTATGTTTGGTGTATCTTCTATTTTTCGTCAAAAAAATCCCCCTGTAGGGGGACACGCCCGACATAAGTCAAGGTCGAGGTCAAGCATGTATGCCCGCGAAGGGCGGCCGCTTAGGGCACAGGCGGGTGGAAATTAGCAGACGCTCATGTGGTGAAGAACATCTCCTGCCATGCAATTCCAAAAATGTGGGTCTTTGCCTGCTGCTCTCCAGTCGCCGATCCCGTGCTTGTCGCAGAAGCGCTGGACATCAGATTCCCACGTCTTCCGCGGCCTCCCTTGGGACCTGTTTCCGGCAGGTGACCATACAAGAGCGCGTGACAGCCATTTGTCGGCGGGCCTGTCCCTCTACGGGGGGAAAAGTCCAAAATGGTAGAGAAACAGTCCGGGGACGATGCTTCTAATATCTTTGAATATGCTGTTTGACTTGTTAAGCCTTCTCGTCCTAAATCCCCTTGCATCAGAGCGTGCATTACCTACCCCGCTTTCGCTTCCAGGCAAAACCAGGTCATACCACGCGCCTCCTCGTCAAGCGGCCTGACCAGTACAGGCCGCAGCTTGGCACCGCTTGACATCTCTTGGCAAGCGAGGGTGGTCCAAAGCGAGGTAGGCTTGTCTGCCCCCCTTATTGCAGGAGCACAGGCCCGACCGAACCCCAGGCGCTCCGAGAGGGCCCCGCCTCACGAGGGCGCCCCGCCTCACGAGGGCGCGGGCGCCCCAGACGGCGGCGGAGCACCCGAGCCGTGCCCCCGCCGCTCAACGACTCGGGCGACTCGAGGCGCGGCGGGGGCAGGGCGCGGAGCTCGTCGAGCACGCGGCGAAGCCCGAGGAGGAGGAGGAGGAGGAGGGATGTTGATGATGATGATGATGATGATGATGAGGAGGAGGAGGAGGAGGAGGAGGAGGAGGAGGAGGAGGAGGAGGAGGCCCCGCCTCCCATCGATGCAGGATTCGGGCGACTCGAGGCGCGGAGGGGGCAGGGCTCGGAGCTCGTCGAGCACGCGGCGGAGCCCGAGCCCTGCCCCCGCCTCCCATCGCTGCAGGAGAGCCCAACGGCTGGTGGGGCTGCCGGTCAGAGCGCCGAGAGAGGGACCGCCGTGGGTTCGGCAGAGGCTCGCTGTTCCCCTCGGTCCTGTCGTGGCTGTCGCCCGTGGCCCCCCTCGGGCACGCAGGCGCTCCCGGGGCCAACAAGGGGCGCCGTCCCTTCTGGATCGCTCCTGGCCTCGGCAGCCCGACTGCGGTGCTCGGATGTCGCCGCCTGTCCAGGGTCAATAAGGAGGGGGAAAAACACACAGACACAATTAATCGTCGATTCCCAAGAAAATATGGGAAAATATGGGCGGGAAGACAAAAACGCAGAAAATATTGGAACATATGGGGAATATGTTTATTTGTGTGAATTTATTTGTGTGTCCCAGGGCCCCTTCAGTCAAGCGAACGGCCCCGGGGCGCCCTCGGCCAGTGGCACGCAGCCCCCGAAGCCGCGAGCGGGCCCGCGGCGCCGCCGAGGGGCCCCGCGTGCCAACAGCCGCGCGGGGCCCCGGCCCTGAGCGCGCGCGGGGCGGCCGCCCGGGGCGCAGGCGCGCGCGATCGGCGCGCGCGCGCTAATGAACGGCTGGGGCGGACGGTGGCTCGCGGCCCCTTTTATCTTAGTATCTCAGGAGGGAAAGAAACACACAGACACAATCAATCGTCCACTCCCAGGAAAAATGTATCAAAATATGGGCAGTGGGGGGGAAGACAGAAACCCAGAAAATATGGGAAAATATGGGGAATCCTGTTATTTGTGTGTATTTATTTGTGTGTCCCAGGGCCCCTTCAGTATCGCTCGGACGCTTTGTTCTCGGCGGGGATTATGGAGGAGCACCCTGGATCATCCTGCAAAAAAGCCGCGCACGAAGCCGGCAAAAAGAGCACAGGGAATGGACGTCCGAGCGACGGGGAGCTATTCCCCACCAACTTGTGGTGTCGGGCCCGCGTTTTGGAATCCGCGGCGCCCCGCGTTCACGCCTTCCCCTCTCAGGGGAGGAACACGGTACACATACCGTTACCTTTCCTTTGTTTTTCCCTGGGTCCAGGGAGTAGCGGTACCGTAATTTGTTTGTGTCTCCCAAACCTTCTCCTTCCTCACATCCTTGCCTCTGCCTTCCGCCTTCCGCATATCCATTTCGGCACACCTCTCAATCGTTTCGTGGCCCCATAGGGAGCTCCACCGAAGGCCCCAGTTGCAGGGTTCGCATGCGGTGCCCACCTCCATTTCGGCACAACCCTCACACGTTCCGTGGCCCCCATGGGGAGCTCCACCGAAGGCCCCAGCGGCAGGGCTCGCATGAGGTGCCCGCCTCTGTTTCGGCGCACCCCTCCTACGCTCCGTGGCCCCCTACGGAGCCCCACCGAGGGCGCTGCCGCCTGCTGCCCCCCAGGGCCGCGCCGACAGACGCGCAGATCAACCGTGACGGGTTATATCCAGATGTAACCCGTTACGGTCGAGTTTTGCGAACCCATCAGCAATCGGGCGACGATATCTATGCATATCCACTGCTCCCGGCCAGGCCAATCCTGGGCCCAAGAGCTGTGTATACGCCCTCCTGGCTTGGCCAGGGAGGCATATACACAGCTCTTGGGCCCAGGATTGGCCTGGCCGGGAGCAGTAGATATGCATAGATCTCGTCGGCCTACAGCAATGTCGTTCCGTCCTTCCCGTTTGCTAGCCCCTTCCTTCAGTTCTTTTGCCTGGCCCCTTTCCTCAGTCTCCACTTGTCTTGCGGCACCCGCAGCTGCATATGGTCGGGTCCTTCGCCAGGTTCGTTTTTGTTCAACAAGTTTTCAAAGGTCCCTGAAGTTCCCCCACGTTTTCGTAAGTTTTCGAGGCCCGGTGTGGTTTCTATCAGCCGCTTCTCGTCGAGGGCGTTCTTGGGCTGCTGGGATCGTCGCGACCGGCCACGCCATCAGAGATCGACTAGACGAAAGAGTGACCTTTCGCTGGAGTGACATGTGGTGCGGGCACAGATGGGCCCTCGGATGGCTGAAAACGAAGCGGTAGCAGCGGCTTGCGCGCCCAGGTTTGGTCTCCCCGCGGCCCCCAACACGCCGCGCACCAAAGGTCACTCTTACCCAGGGTCACTCTTGCCTGTAGCCGACGAGAGCCGAGGCATGACCCGAAAACCAGAGGGGACCGGCAGGTGGGGATGCAGTGCCGTTTTTAGTACATGCCCCGCGTGCGGATCATGTATTAAATATGCAGGGATCTAGTTTCAAAAACAGCGATGGGTTCATGCACAAATCTATGCATACAATAGTCATGTATTAGAAATCCGGTGTTTAAAACAAAAATCCGATGTATTAAAAATTGCCCTGTAGGCTCAGGAGGGAGGCATCGACCCCGAGTCGATCGCCGTGAGGGGCCCGACAGCCCACCCCGCCAGGGGGGTGTGCGGCTTCTCCATCGGGGGCCTACTGCAGATCTGCCGGCGACGTGTCGTCGGCTCAGGCTCGAGGTTCCCCTCCCTGCCCCTCAGCGTGGGGTTCGGTAGCAAGTCATGGGAGCCTCGTCTGCCCTGGTGATCCCCTTTGAAAATTAGCCTGACGAAGGACCCAACCATGTGCAGTTGCGAGTACCGCATTGTGGGTACCCGTTTCGGTGGAGCTCCTATGGGGCCACGAAACTTGTGAAGGGTGCGCCGAAATTGGTGGCGCGGACGCATGTGGACACCGCCACTGGGGCCTTCGGTGGAGCTCCCTATGGGGCCACGAAACGCTGCCCTGGGCGAGGGAGACGAATGCGAACTGCGCCATTGGGACCTTCGCTGGAGCTCCTTATGGGGCCACGAAGCGCTGTCATGGGTGAGGGAGACGCATGCGAACTGCGCCTCTGGCGCCTTCGGTGTGGGGCCACGAAACGCTGTCCTGGGTCGGAGAGACGCATGCGAACACCCCGATTGAGGCCTTCGGTGGAGCTCCCTATGGGGCCACGAAGCGCTGTCCTGGGTGGGGGAACAGCATGCGCCCAACCCCACTGGGGCCTTTGGTGGAGCTCCATATGGGGCCACGAAGCGCTGCCCTGGGTGGGGGAACCGCATGCGCCCACCCCCACTGGGGCCTTCGGTGGAGCTCCCTATGGGGCCACGAAACGCTGCCCTGGGTGGGGGAACCGCATGCGCCCACGCCCACTGGGGCCTTCGGTGGAGCTCCCTATGGGGCCACGAAACGCTGCCCTGGGTGGGGGAACCGCATGCGCCCAAACCCACTGGGGCCTTCGGTGGAGCTCCCTATGGGGCCACGAAACGCTGCCCTGGGTGTGGGAACCGCATGCGCCCACCCCCACTGGGGCCTTCGGTGGAGCTCCCTATGGGGCCACGAAACGCTGCCCTGGGTGTGGGAACCGCATGCGCCCACCCCCACTGGGGCCTTCGGTGGAGCTCCATATGGGGCCACGAAGCGCTGCCCTGGGCGGGGGAACCGCATGCGCCCACGCCCACTGGGACCTTCGGTGGAGCTCCCTATGGGGCTACGAAACGTTTGAGAGGTGTGCCGAGAGCAGAGGCAAGGAGGGGGAGGAGGGAGGAGGGGGAGGAGGGCGGGGAGGAAGGAAGGACGGAAGGAACGCGGGGCACCGTCTCTTCAAAACGAGGACCCAACACCACAGGATGGTTGGAAAAACCTTCGGTGGAGCTCCCTATGGGGCCACGAAACGCTGCCTTGGGTGAAGGAACCGCATGCGAACGCCCCCACTGGGGCCTTCGGTGGAGCTCCCATTCTGGCCTCGAAACGCTGCCCTGGGTGAAGGAACCGCATGCGAACACCCCCAGGGGGGCCTTCGGTGGAGCTCGCTATAGGGGCCACGAAACGCTGCCCTGGGTGAAGGAACCGCATGCGAACACCCCCACTGGGGCCTTCGGTGGAGCTCCCATTCTGGCCTCGAAACGCTGCCCTGGGTGAAGGAACCGCATGCGAACACCCCTACTGGGGCCTTCGGTGGAGCTCCCTGTGGGGCCACGAAGCGCTGCCCTGGGTGGGGGAACCGCATGCGAACACCCCCAGTGGGGCCTTCGGTGGAGCTCCCTATGGGGCCACAAAACGCTGCCCTGTATGAAGGAACCGCATGCGAACACCCCCAGTGGGGCCTTCGGTGGAGCTCCCTGTGGGGCCACGAAACGCTGCCCTGGGTGGGGGAACCGCATGCGCCCAAACCCACTGGGGCCTTCGGTGGAGCTCCCTGTGGGGCCACGATGGTGCGCCGAAATGGGTGATGATGATGATGATGATGATGATGATGATGATGATGATGATGATGATGATGATGATGATGATGACGATGACGATGACGATGACGATGACTGTAACGGTGACGATGTCGAAGATGATGACGATGGTGATGATGGTGATGATGATGATGACGATGATGATGATGATGACGACGATGATGATGATGATCATGATCATGATTATGATTATGATTATGATGATGATGATGATGATGATGATGATGATGATGATGATGATGATGATGATGATGATGCTGATGATGCGATGATGATGATGATGATGATGATGATGATGATCATGCGATGATGATGATGATGATGCCTGATCGATCGATCAGATCATGATGATGATGATGATGATGATGATGATGATGATGATGATGATGATGATGATGATGATGATGATGATGATGATGATGATGATGATGATGATGATGATGATGATGATGATGATGATGATGATGATGATGATGATGATGATGATGATGCTGCTGATGATGATGATGATGATACGGCTAGCCCCTTGGGTAATGATGATGGTGATGGTGATGGTGATGGTGATGGCGATGGTGATGATGACGGTGATGATGCTGATGAGAGGAGGAGGGAGGGGGCAGCGGGCGGAGGAGGAGGAAGGAACGCGGGGCCCTGTCTCTTCAAAACGAGGACCCAACACCACAGGATGGTTTGGAAAAATGCACTAGCGTCGAGTAGCGCCTGGTAATCGAGGGGCTAGCGCCGATCTAGCGTCGACTCGCGCCGATTCGTGCCGATTTGGTGTCAACTGGCGTCGATTAGCGTCGACATCGCAAGGCCCAGCGAGTTGGTTTGGGAGGCTCCCGCGAGTTGCCACAAGAGGGCGGCGCGCTGGCCCGGGGCCCGCCCACCTAGAGGAGCGGCCCTCGTGGTGCATAGATGGTCCTCCTCCTCCTCCTCCTCCTCCTCCTCGAGCCTTCTCGAGCCTCCTCCTCCTCCCCCTCCCCTCCTCGAGCCTCCTCTCCCTCCTCCACCTCCTCCTCCTCGTCGAGCCTCCTCCTCCTCCTCCTCCTCCTCCTCCTCCTCCTCCTCCTCCTCCTCCTCCCCCTCCCCCTCCCCCTCCCCCTCCTCGAGCCTCCTCCCCCTCCTCCCCGTCGAGGGCGTTCTTCTCCGGAAGGTGCCAGGCTCCTCCCGCGCGCCCGCCGGAGGGCCGAGCCCGGGGCCCGCCCACCTCGAG